ATCTGCCGTAGAGTTAGAGCGCAAACTGCAACTCAGCTAATGGCAGATTTACCCGCTTCAAGAGTTACTCAAAGTAGAGCTTTTTCTCGTGTAGGGATTGATTTATTTAGCAGGACCATTTAACGTTAAATATCGTCCTGGTAGAGGAGTCAAAATCTTTAAGTGTTACGTATGCCTATTTATTTGTTTTACTACAAGAGCAATACACTTAGAATTAGTTGGAGATCTTTCAACAAAATCATTCCTCGCGACACTTAAGCGGTTTATAGCTCGTAGAGGCAAACCGTGTGAAATTTAGTGATTGTGGAACGAATTTTATAGGAGCTAATAAAGAATTAAGGAAAGCATTTTCTATTGTTCAACGTGATGAACAGCTACAGGGTTATATTTCTTCAGAAAATATTAAATGGTTATTTAATCCTCCCTCTGCCCCTCATTTTGGAGGGCTTTGGGAAGCGGGTATCAAGTCTATGAAACATCACTTAAAAAGATGTTTAGGAACACTTAGTTTAACATACGAGGAATTTTTGACATTAATAACACAAATTGAATCCTGTCTTAATTCCACGCCTTTGGTACCAGCATCAAGTGATTGTAGCGACTTGGAGGCGATAACACCAGGACACTTTTTAACCTGAGCGGCTTTAAGCGCTATTCCAGAATCTAACCAAATTCAAGAAACCATGAGCTGCAGTGACAGTTGGAGGAACGTGCAAAGGTTATTTCAACATTTCTGGAATCGTTGGAGCAGTGAGTATTTATCTAGATTGCAGCAGAGACCCAAGTGGTGCAAGGTACAACAAGACCTGAAGATTGGTGATATGGTTCTTATTAAGAAACGAAAATCTACCTCCGCTACGTTGGAAATTAGGTAGAATTATTAAAGTGTATCCTGGTGTTTGGATGAGAAAGTTCGAGTGGTGAGTTTACGCACGTTCTAATGGTGAAATAAAACGACCTATAGCAAAGCTATGCGCTTTGCCATTTAATTCCTGATTTAGAGACTTTAATTTTTATTTTTCAGGTTTATGCAGTTCAACAGTTTAAATTTATTGTTTGAACCCCCTTGGGACTTCAAGGCTGGGGGTATGTTCGATGTTATGCAAATTGTATTTCTTTCTTTGTACCGAGGAGCGGCGCAGACGCAAATTTGTTAGGTTTTTAAAGCTCGCGTTTAGAGCTTTGAGGTTGCTGTGAATTACTGGAGTTTCAACTAAGCAGAGGTTTTTCTGAGTTTGTGTTGGTAAGCCGCTACTCAGTTCGGAGTTGGCAGTGTGGTCTTCGCCGTTCCTCAACTAACTTACTTTGAAAGTCAATAAAGAAGTTTCGGTCAACGTTATGATTCTGAGGGTTTTTGTGTTCTATACTGAAGTAATATCAAGTCAATTTACAGTCCACTATTTTTAACAACGGATCGTACAGCTATCAACCTTTTATTTATCTGTGAAGTACTTAGTTTTAGTCTATGAATATAAAGAATTGCTTTTTCCCAAATTTTAACATTTATCAGCATCTTATTTACTTTTTCTGTCTTAATTCCTAAAGCATATTAAAATTAATCTAAATTTAGATAAATGTATATATATATATATATAATGTATATATATATATATATGTAAGATAAAATTATATGAATCAAAATTGAAGTTTAAACTAACGGTAAAACATTAATTCTTCCTCTCTATTCTAAAATCGTAATAACTTCTCTGCATTGCGGTATTCAAATTAATCATGCGATCTTACGTAACCGTTAATACCAGATGCCTCTTGATGACCAATCACCGAATTGCAAACAAAAACTTTTCTCTTCGCGTGCTTCCATCTTGCATAACTACGCACTTCAGCTTTTGCTCTCTACTGTGCTAAAATGTAATTTCGCTGGCTTGCTTTCTATCTCAACAATATCAAAAATGTAAATCTTCTGTGGAAAGGCACGACTAGAGTGCCAAGTGATTGTGGCCACAAATATCAATTGGAAATAAAAATGGAATTAAAACTGCTTCTACTGCCAAGTTCTTTAGATATTACTAAGTTAGCATTACTAGCCTACTACGCAATCAAAATCCTCTTCAATATGGGTCTAATCACGCATCTACAGTGTTCTGTCTTTTCCATGTGCTTTTATTATGACATATATATATAATAGGAAGAAATATTGTAGTGAGCTTACTAAAATGTTACCAGGAGCTGTGGCTCCATGAAATAGTTCAACGCAGTATTTTTTTTAAATATTAACATAGAAGTAATTTTTTAAAAAAATATTAAGATGGAAAAGTGAAAAAACAGCCTACACGCGAAATAAAAGTGTTAAAATCAATGTTGGAAAACATGTGAATGCACAAAAAAACTAATCTGATCGTTGTGATATGTGAAAAGTTAATACATATAAAAACAGATCGATGGAACAAGTTAAAACAAAATTAAAATATAAGAATTAAAACATAAATTGCAAAAAATATAAAAATTATAATTAAAACATAAATTGCAAAAATTATAAAAATTACAAAGCGGAAAATGGTAAATAAGCCCAATTGGATTTCCAACCAGGCTTTTCAAGGGAAAAATAGTTGAATGTCGAACTATTCACATATCACAACGATCAGATTAGTTTATATATATATATATATATATTTAAATAAACGTATGTGTAATGTTTTTAGAAATAAAGTGGGGCACGATCGTCTAACAATGGGGCAAAAAAAAAAAAAAAAAAAAAAAAGCTGCGGGCACTGCTCCAAATGGACGGAGTTTATGTGTTTTTTCATAATCAAAACAAATTATTCCAAAACGCTTCAGTAGCATTTTCTGTTTTCTGGCTCACTTTATCGTATTATTACTTTTCATTATAATATTACTCGCACTGTTCAATATATTCTACCTTAAATCGAATATTTAAACTAATTATCATATCGAAGAGTTTGGTTAAAAAAACAGCTGCTATTATCCAAATTCTATGGAAGTAAAGCTTTTCATACCTTTCTATTCCATTTATCACTTCTTTTAATATCGTCGTTGTTAAATAAGCTCGATTCTACTATTTTATATATCCATATATTAATTCTAATTTATCAAATGATTATCGGGATTTCATTTCTTGTCTTAAGAAGCTGTCTTACACCATCTTCTATAATATGTATAGGCTTTATTATTAAAACTATAAATAATTTAAAATCAATTTAAAGGTATACGTTCATTAAAGCTTTTGTAAAAATATAGCAATGAAAGCTAATTTAAAATTTAAGACGTTAAAGGGTCTCATAATCTATCGTTAACAAGGAAGACTGAAAATTTATCAATAAACTAGCATTAAGTCAGTGGTAAGGAAAATAATATTTAAGATGTAATGTTGTGACTCTAGCTTCATGGAATATTAATATGCTCTAAGTCATGACAATTTCAGCAATTAATAAAAATGTCAGACAAATTTATCAACTAAAAGTTCTTACTTTAAGGGTTATAAGTACTAAACGATATGTACATTTTAATTAAATAGCTTTTATGAAATTTATATAAAATCAAATCATAAAAATTGATGCTTCTGTAGGATATTCGTATTCTTCCATTTTTAATATCGTTTTTACATTAATTGAAATTCATTTGTGATACTCCACTATTCGAAATCACTTTAATATGTTTGAAACAAAAATAAAACTTTCGCATCCTGGAGCATTACGCTACGCAGAATTGTATAGGAGTGATTTCAGTGAAAGTTAATAGTAATTATTACCTAAGGTGTTTTCAAGTGTACTTTCTTAACATCTTCATAAGTGTGCAATATTCATGACTCGGATGTCTAATTATGTGAAAAAGCATTCACGAAATATTTTCTTTGTACAAAGCAATTATCGTAGTAATATGGCTCCTTAACGTATAATTTGCACAAAAAAAAGGGGGGGCACTGATATATCTCTCGTTCAAGTGAGCCATCTGACGAAATTTAACTAATTAACATATTAGATTTATATAAAGCATTATTCTAGGTATTTTGACACAAAGTCGGACTTTTTCTGAAGAGAAATAGCGATTGTTTTTCATATTTCGATTACACGATTCAAATTATGCCGAAGTGCCAAGTTTCGTAAATGTCGCACGAGTTTTTGCTCTTCAATCTTAATTGAATTTGGTATATATTTATTAATATCTCTTTTTTTTATAAAACTTTTAATAGATTCCTTCTTTCACAATTCGAAATTTAGGTTCAATCCAAATTTCAATCAACAATCTTATTTATTCCTAAACTTTGTATCTTTTACTAAATTTTATAAATTTTTTAAAACTATTTTGAATTATAACGTTTACAATTTTTAAAATCACCTCAAACTAGATGTATTTTTAGGCATTGCTGCAAGCAAATAAGAGTCTTTTATGCAGAATTTTCAAAGATATAAGTGAATTTATATATTGACGCGTTTTGAAATTTAGCATATTTTTAATAAGCGACAGTAACGCCAAATGTACCCACTTAGTTAAAACTATTTGAAAGAATGAACGATGCACCTTTTTTCCGCTAGTGCATAGTAAAAAAGGGAAAAGAAAATAGCTTACCATAAATTAAGAATTTCTCCAATTGGAATTATTCTTTGCTCAAATTGAAATAAATGCGTGAAGATAAATGTTTAAATTTCTCGGTAAGTTACTCCCTAAATTTTACAAAATTAAATATTTAGACATTATTTTATTCGCAGAATCGAAATACGGAAAAAAATGGCTATGTTATTTTGGGAAAAGTCTGATTTTGTGTTAAAATACCCATGTTAGAAGGATAAGCTTGAATCGAAATATATTGTAATGAAATCCACAGGATAATATTAGAGAATGCGGATTACTTATCAAAATTTGATTACTCATATCTAGAATTTTCGAAGGGAACAATCATCTTAATGTAATTATTGCTGTATTTCAGAAAACTTGAATATATCGATGGATTAATTTTTTTAACTAATTGTTTATTTTTAACAATATCTCAAAAGTATAAATAGCTTAAAAAAATTCATACTTACGTTTACTGAATTCCTCATACCGGCCGGATTGCAGCAACATGTCCAAATATTCTGGTCCCACATCTATAAATTATAAAAGGGTAGTAAGTGTTTGAATATTCAAAGTATGAAACATAAAAGTCCCTAAAAGAGGTCAAGTCATGCATCTTTTATTTGCTAATTGTACTTACTAATCACATACGACACAAGTACACGCAATGGTAAATACGGCAAATTCTTAAATATTAAAACTTCAAATAATAACACTTACGAGCTTGTAAATGGAAGCAAACCTAAATAATAGATTGATCGCTTTGGAACTCTATCTACAAAATGTACGCATAAGTTCATTAAAATCTGTAATTTTATCATTATTTTTAATGTATTTTACAAAAATTAGTGTAATTCAGAATTTGTGCGAATACTTCTTAAAATCCCAGAGCTGTATCTATCGAAATTTTAAAAACCAATTTCTATACTTTTGACAGTTTATAAAGCAAATAAGTAACAGTTTAAACGAAAGATACAATTGTTTCCCCCATAAAATCCATTATTTATTTTGTTCTAAAAAAGTGCCTTTCAAATTACTTACAGAAATATAAAATACTCACCAGTTATATTTGGTAGTGGTGATGATATCACACTGGCCAAGATGGCAAAAAACCAAAATATTAGTCCTGATGCACATGCCATGTTTCTAAGAACCTAATCTGAAATGTGCAATATCATGTACACAAGTGTTAATTCTGAAATATAGTAATTGAAAATAGACTAAAATATTACTGCTGATAAAGATCCCATGCTGAGTTTCTATTTGACATTTGCAAATGCCTTATGAAAATATTGTTACTACTAAAAGTAAAACGTGTTACAGATTGAAATGTAGGAAATATTAAAAGCAATGAATATCCCATGTTGAGAGATTGTAACATAATTGATAGCCGCGCATACAGTTGCCAACTCTGTCGAATTACAACAAAGAACACTGCAAAATATACTATTTATATAGCTCCCTTTTTATCATTATTGAAAATTTATGGAATATAACTTTAGAATGAATACTTATGTGAACGAATAATTTCTTAAAACTTTATAATTAATCGAAAACTATTTCATTGCGGTAATTTAGGTAATAATATACTGACTCATTAAACGCTAAATTTGCATTGTCAGAATAATAACTAGAATTCAGTTAAAAATATTAATTCAAAAATGTAGAAATTTTTTTAAACATTTCAAACTATTTGAACTAAGCTTTTAATTGTTTTTTTTTTAGTTGTGGCGTTTGTTTGGAATTTTGACAAACTTGTGGAAATATGCATAACTGTATTTTTTCGGAAGATTTTTAATATTTTACTTGCAAATTAAAATATATAAATAAGTTCAACCGAACCGTTTTATTCGCCAGTCACTTCTTAGTCGTTATGACACGCGTGCTACAATTAATACTCGTTCATTTAAACAATTTCTTACCAATACCAAACAGTATTTCTTGCAAATATGTAGGTCACTTTGAAAGTTTTGAGATACGCTTAGACAATAAGTGGCAGAAAAAAATTAACGGTTAGATTTTAAAATATGAACTATTTTAGCATAACAGGCGCTTTTTTATTGACCATTTGCAAGTAGTTAACGTAAAATAAGTTTAAGGCAGATGAAATATTATCACGCTATGAATGCATTCAATATCTAGAGTTAGCATTTGGAAATGAAGGTCCATCTCGTGCTACTGTATTCAGATGGTTTACATAATTTCAGAGGTCACAACTCTCTTCAGAAGGAAGAACACACAGGAAGACCAGCAGTTGTCAGAAGTAATCTCTGATAATGCGTCTGCTATAGGAAAAATATTAATCGATGCAAATCGTTGCACTTACCAGATGATACAGGTAGAACTTAATATTGAACCCGTCACCGATAGCAAAATTATTCCGGAAGAACTGCATATGAAAACGCTAGTTTCCCATAATTTTAACTAAACCCAAAAACGAGGAGCGTATCAGAACCTGTAAAGAAACCCTTAAATTACTTAAAGATGTCGGCCGTGACATTATTTTTAAAACAGCAACTGGTGATGATATAATATACCATACCAATTTTTGACGTTCCAACACATCAAGAAAGTAAAGAATGGGTGTCTGAAAATGAACCCACGCCTACAATGGTGAAATGATAACGCGTTATGGAATGCCGTTTAACCGTAATAACCGTTTTCTCTAGAAGTAAAGGGCTGGTCAAAGTCATCAAACTGGAAAGCCAGAAGACAGTCTAACATCATTCCAGGATACAGCTAAATGGTACACCACTAAGTTTCTTTCAGAAATTCTTCAATAAAAGAATATTAGAGAATTCAGTCTCCACCATGACATGCTTCTTCCCATTCAACAAGATTGAAAGTGAGTTTCTTGAACCAAAACACATCAAAGTGATATAACGTCCACCCTATTCACCCTAACTAGCTATGTGTGAGGTTTGGCTATTTTTTAATCTAAAAAGAGTTTACGTGGACGTCGTTTTCATTCCGAAGATGAGATCGACGAGGCTATAAATGCATTTATTTCATCGCCAAAGATAAATGGTTTGAGGCATTTAACCTTTGGAAATTTTGCTTACAGAAATGCATTGATGCTAGTAGGGATTCGTTTGAACACTCCAAAAATTCAGCAAGTATAACTTTAAAAACCTATGTGTATCTAAATTTCAGAGTAGACCTCGTATCAGTGGTTAAAATGCCTTTTCATTGTCCAAGCTTTTCTTTCTTACTCTGATTACTTCACATTTCAGATTCCACCTCACCCAGTATTACGGAAATTGAAATTTTTTTCATGTTCTATCTCTCTTTGAAGTTGTGACCCAAGTGTGTTGTGTTACAACCTGTTTATCAGAACTAATTATTATCTGCATTTATATGAAATGCTACTATGCTGCAATTTAATATTCGGGATCGTACAGTGAATAGCAAAAGAATAAAAATGTATTTTTAGTTTTAATTATAAAGAAATAAATATTATGGTTTATATTCTATACATGATTTCTAATCTTCTTCATTTATAGATTTTTATGCATTTTCTAAATATAAAGGTTAATTATAACTGTCATATGTTACTTTATTTAGTAAACAAATCTAATAGCTTCTTATTTGCGAAATCGAGAAACTATTTCTTGGTAACTGATGAATATGTTAATCTTATATAATAAACAGCAATATGCGAGGTTCGCGAATTATTTCCTGAGTACTCATGAATAAAAAACGAAATTAATAAACAATTAATATTTTCTTAACAAGATTTACGGGTTATCTTACAGAACCAAACAAAACTTAACCATAACTTATATGCCCCTTCCAATGCAAAACTGCATTTTAAACAAAATTGTAACCAACAGTTCATCTGGACTTGATGAGCGCACATGGAATATTACATCTGGCTATCAAATGAAAATTATGTAAAATTAAGTTGTGGATCTTCAGATTTGAAAAGATTTTAAATTATAATAAATAATTAAAGTATACCTTAATGCAAGACTTTTTTCCTTATTTTTCACCTTACTTTGACCTTTTATCTTGCATACAAATTTCGAAGTTTACAAACTATTATTTAACACTCAAATATTTTGTTCAAACTTAAAACCTGAAAGCTAGGGGACGGGAGAGAGAGAGTCACAGTTGCTATGCTGTTGCAACTATGCAGTTAAATCACACAGTTATCAGTTATAGTTACCGTTACTTATTTAAATTTATTCTTTAAACTTCGAATCACTATCAGAGTTACACTACCTTATATAGAAATTATTTGTTAATATGAAAACAACAAGCACAGGAGTCAACAAAACAATTAAAACTACTGCTTAGGAACACGTGATAAACTTTGAAATACCATTCTCTTATAACATCACCATAATGCTCTAAAATAGTATTCTAGGCCTCTAACCGATAGAGCTTCTTAAAGTCTATAGAGTTACGGAGAATACTCAGAAATTATTTTCCGTCAAATTGAAAATTCAAAAATACTTTATATTTTATATAATAATTGCGTAAATTTTACATAAGAAGACGAAGTATTATCAATATACGGAGGAAACTTCCTAATAATAATTCATGTAATTAAAAACGATCAGTAGCTGTTTTCGCATTATTCAGTTCCATATTTTCTGATTAAATATTCGCATTTACCTTAAAATAAATTGCTGTCTGGTATTATCTTCAGTCCAGTGATCCTATATTTTACCATAAAACATAGAAAATGTGAATTAAGAAACTATTTTGTTATAATGCAGCATTTTAAATTTTCAGCTTTACATAAAATATTTTTCTTAGAAGACATTCTATCAAACCTTATTCACTTTATGCTAAACGACTGAAAAACTCTTATCCATCTTTTTCCTACCCGCTATAGATTTGGAGCAAAGGTTATCTGGATTTCTCTTAAGTAAACAGCAAGCAAGTGTTATTTGCTAAAGCATGTGTGTCTGGTTTACCTAAGAGAAAGGATGCCTTGATGGAGAAAGTTTTAAGGGAAACTATCTAGCATTCTGAAATCATTCCAACTAATGAAATTAAGGCATTTTTATTCAGCTTGCTCGCGATATTCCTCTAATTTTCAGTTTTTATTCTATGTAATTACGTATAACATAGATGTTATATATTGACGAAATTTGCAACCTTATTCATTTTAACAATTTAACATCATATGAAGATTTTTAAATTTATAAGCTATAAAATAAGGTAAATACTTACAACAGCAAAAGAGGGAAGAGTACTAGTGATGTGCACTAGCTGAAGGGAACTTTTATATAGTATGGTTAAGTATAGTTTATCTCCTACTAAATAAAAATTAACTTGACTGATGTTATGCGAGAAAATTACTTTCAGCTGTTTTTGACATCTTCTTTTAATATATTTGTCACTTCATCAGGTGAAAAGGTGCGCATTTGTATTACGATGTTTTGTTTACTGTGTATTCTAACTTCCTTGTTTATTCATACAAAAAAGGTAAACACCTTTTGAATATTTCTTTATTTGTGCTTCAATTAATCTCCTGTACATTTCTTTCGAGGAAGCAAAAAAAAGCGCAATAATATAAAAA